AGCCTCATCACTCAGGGCTGTTGCACAACTCACAATGCCAAGGGATATCTTCATTTCTTCACATATTTTAAAAAGTTGACATTAGCAAATATGTAATGCATAAGATACAATATATGATTACTATAGTATTATCTCAGAAATTCAAGATTATCCACTGATTTTTTTCAAAAATTCAAGAGATTATCACCCAAACAATAAAGTGTAAACAAAGATAAAGGAAAAACTAAAGTACTCAGACTGCTTAAACCTGTATTAGGTTATCATAAATAGCAGAATCTATAAAACACATTTTGAAAAAGCTTGGTCTTATTTTTGAAAATTCAATCATTCATAATTCCAAACTCACCATGTTAGAACTGACCCAGCTATAGAGCTAAAAGATTATTTTATACTAACCCGGGGCGGATTTTCCATTAGGTAATACTAGGCAGTTGAGACCACAAATTTAAGTTAAGTTTTCATTTATCTAAAATATTCCAACAGTTTAGTTTTTCCAGTGATTTATTGTCTTTGGTGATGTGAACACCAAGATATTTCACATCAGATTTAACAGGGATGTTATGAATGGCAGTCTGGGAAGAGTCGTGTATCGTCGCCTACGCCCAGGCCTAGGAGTATGACATAGACAAATGTCACCGTGCACTTACCAAGTTCATTGTTTCACAGAATCGCTAAGAGAATCGATAAGGAATCGAATCGTTTCACAGAATCGATAAGGGAATCGATCCATCTATCCATTTTCAAACAGCCGGCTGGAGGAAACAAGCTTGCTCTGAGAAACATGGAAGGTGGGGTGTACACGAAGATGAGGAAGGAGTTTGAGACGGACTGCTGATGGGCTCATGACCTGGTCAATTTTAAATGGACCGAGAAACCAGGGAGCCATCTTTCTGGAAACAGTTTTTAATGGGAAGTCCTTAGAGGAGAGCCAAAGTTCCTGTCCTTGCAAATAAGTGGATCCTTGTCACGGAAGGAGGTGCGTTCCGGGGCTGCTCGGGTTTGGTCCCAGATTCTACGGCAACGGGAGAGGTGTGATCTGATGGAAGGGAGGATGGAATCAGGGAAGGGTGTGGGGAGGAGAGATGGCTGGTAACCCAGAGAAGCTTCAAATGGGGATAAACCAGTGACTGCGGATACGTGGGTGTTATGGGAGTATTCAACCCAAGCAAGCTGTTTACTCTACGTGTTGGGGTTCTGGGAACAGAGACAGCGGGGGTGTTCTCGATCTCCTGGTTGAGCCGCTCGCACTTCCCATTGGACTGTGGGTGGAATAGAGATGAGAGTGAGACCCTAGCTCCCAGACTCTGACAAATGTCACGCCACACTCTGGAGATGAACTGTGGACCGTGGTCAGAAACAATCTCAGAGGGGAGTCCATGAAGCCTGAAGACATGGCTGATTAGAAGCCGGGCAGTCTGATGGGCTGACAGGAGTCCGGACAGGGCCACCAGGTGGCAGGCCTTGGAGAACCAGTCAATGATGGAGAGGATTACTGTTTTGTGGTTGGAAGGAGGAAGGCCAGTGATGAAATCCAAGGCAATGTGAGACCAGGGGCGGCTGGGTCTGGGCAAGGGTTGGAGAAAACCAGTAGGTGGTTTGCTTGAGCCTTTATTTCTGGCACAGACAGGGCAGGCAGATACAAATTCAGCCACATCCTTATTAAGTGATGGCCACCAGAAATACCGCCGGATGAGGGCGATAGTGCGACTTGAGCTGGGATGACCAGAAAACTTCAAAGAATTACTCCAGCGGATTACTTGGGAACGGACTGTGGAGGGCACATAGCGTCTTCGATGGGGGCTGCCTCCGGGGTCTGGTTTGCCCACTAGTGCTTGCTGTAACGGTCTTTCTAGGTCCCAGGTGATTGCCCCCCCAACACTGGACTCGGGATGATGGTTTCTGGTTCTCCGGGATCTTCAGAGGAGGAGAATAGCCGGGACAGGGCGTCGGGCTTGGTGTTCTTAGAGCAAGGGCACTAAGTGATGGTGAAGTTGAAACAGGTGAAAAACAGAGACCAATGACTCTGGCGGGAGTTCAGACGTTTGGCGGATTGGATGTAGGAGAGGTTCTTGTGGTCGGTCCCAAATGATGATGGGTAACTCAGTCCCCTCCATTCGTTGCATGGTGATAGGGGGCTGAAGCTATATGTCGTACACCGTTTTCCTTGAGAAAACTCTGGAACTCATGAACCATTGTTACTGAAAGGCTGTTGAGGCAGGCCTGTGCGGGCAAAAAGTAACCCAAGGATGTTGATTATGCTGGCTGTTGTCGCATGCTTTACAGGAAAAATGTCTTGCCACTTTAAGTAAGCATCAACCACAATCAAGAATATTTGGTCCATAAATGGCCACCCAGGCCAGAGTGGCCTGGTGACATGACTGTACTTAAAAAAACCTCCCAGTCCAGCCATGTCTGTAGCTGTGCTTGGGCGAGGTTGATTTTTGAAAAGTATTCGCCACCCGCCACCGCAGTGAATAAGTCTTCTATCTGCGGAAGTAGGTACTGATCTATGCAGTGTACTGGGTTCACTAATACCTTAAAATCGCCACAGACTCTCACACTGTCAGATGTTTTCTAGCTCAATGATACTATTGGTGTAGCCCAGTCTGACCATTCCACCTTGGCATGTATTCCTTGCTCTTCCATGCGTTGCAGCTCTGCTTCAACTTTGGGCCGTATAGCATATGGTACAGAACAAGCCTTGAAAGCCGTGAAATCTGGGTTTTGCATCATCAGCCAACACAATCTGTGCTTTAATATTTTTTACAGGGCCAATTCCTTCTTTGAACACCGGAGCATGTTCTTCAATTATTTGTTCCAGTCTTTCCTCCAAAGAACTTGCACTCAGGTCTGGTGCCAGTCTCATGGACTTTATTTCTTTCCAGTTGAGTTGGAAGTGCTTCAACCAGTCACGTCCAAAAAAAATGGAATGTCTCCATTTTTCAGAACAAAGTTCAAGTTTGCATTTGTTTTTCTCATATTCCCCTTTTACTTTTAGTTTTCCCAAGGGACTTATTCTTTCACCTGTGTATGTTTTTATGTTCACTGAGGTGTGCTTTAGTTTTAGATTTTGGACTTCAGCCTTCAACTCGTATTTTAGATCCAGTTCCAACCAGGTTATTTAAGGAGGTATTCCCTTTTCTCTCGTTCTCCATTTTAGATGTGATTAATCTATCTCTGTTACAGGGATATGTACCAAAAGCTTTTAAGGTTGCTGTAATTAAACCTTTACTTAAGAAACCGTCTCTTGTCCCAGTTGACTTGGTCAATTATAGACCTATATCCAATCTTCCTTTCTTATCTAAAATTCTTGAGAAAGTGATTACCAAACAAGTATGAAACAAGTTACACCATAATGAACTTTTTGAAGAGTTTCAGTCTGTCTTTAGAGCTCATCATAGCACTGAAACAGCTCTGGTGAAAGTCACTAATGATATTCTCATGGCCTCAGATAATGGACTTGTATCTGTGCTCGTCCTGTTACATCTTAGTGCTGCAGCAGAAGCATCAGATGCATCTGA